GTGTATGTGTGTGTGTGTGTGTGTGTGCGTGTGTGTGTGTATGTGTGTGTGTGTGTTAGTGTGTGTGTGTGTGCGCGCGTGTGCGTGTATGTGTGTGTGCATGTGTGTGTGTGTGTGTGTGTGCGTGTGTGTGTGTGTGTGTGTGTGTGTGTGTGTGTGTGTGTGTGTGTGTGTGTGTGTGTGTGTGTGTGTGTGTGTTGTTGTGTGTGTGTGTGTGTGTGTGTGTGTGTAAACACGATAACTCGAGAGGGAAACTGATGGATTGTCTAGGATTGTAGGTGGGTACGTCTTGATGAGACCTCGAACTGATTAGATTTTGGGCCCCCTGGGGGAAGGCTTGTTATAGTACTGCAACGAAACTTCCTGTTTGGATATTGCATGATCTGCACGATAGATGGCTCTTGTACTCGGGAGAAGTGACGTGAGTTTGGGCAGCCTAGAATAAAAAAAATTTAAAGGAGGATAACCGTTGAGCCGTTTAACGGATCGTCGTCATTTTGGGGTATACATGTAGCTTACATGATGTTTTACATGATAAAATGGCAATAATTATCTAACTAAGGATCTGAATTGCATGATTAATGAGTAAATTTTATAAATCCGCTGCGTTCAATGATAGGACTAGTTAACACATAGGGTGTTTGCTCATTCTACGTCCATACCAAAATGTAGATCATTCGACCTTAAATTGAGTTCAATCCGTCTGACTGCAGATGACCGGAAAAGGCAAAATAATATCATCTACTCCCCAAAGTAGAGGTAGTGAAATATGGTGATTCTGGCACCCTGGGACCAGATAGAACGCGAGAACTAAGTACGTATTCCTTGTAGTAACGCCAGCGCTGCGTTCTTTTTTCGTCTTCATTAGTGCCCTATAATGACTGACGAGGGCAGTAATTATTACCCTCTTAGAAGACTCCGATTGTCTGTGCAGTAATAGGCAGCAGGGCCAACAGAAAGGGTGTGGAACAGTCCATCTCTGCACTAAACAGAGGGGGTATGACAGACGTGTCATGATGTTCTGAGGTTGATTTACTGGTTTGAGGTCATCCCACAGTCAGTATTTTACAGACATACAGAGCACGTACGTTATGGGTAATGGCATCACCCGGCTATAGATGTTATTACCACCTCATATTCTGCGTATGTGTTGGATAGTTGTGACGTCAGGTTAGACACGTGAACCCCCCGTACGTGACAAATGTTGGTACACCCCTCTGCTGTCTCCCATGCTAATGAAAGCAGACACCCGACGCTTTAATGATATATGCAGCAACTGAGCGATTCGGTTGGCAGCTACCTGTTATTGATCGCCCGGTGGTGAAGGCGCCCTCCTCGCAGTTATTTGCGTGGAGTTTTCTCATTTGGAGCGGTGTCATTCATGGATTGTACCTAAGCCAGTCACGCAGAAAGAATCCCCAGCTCCCGTTGTGCAGTGGTATATAAAGTGTGTATTCAATAGCCTGCGCATCGCACATTGTTGCCGAGTGAGAAGACATGAATGCTCCTGGTTAGGCAACGTGTAACCGCGAGAATTTCTTCCTGAGAAGCAACATTTAACATGTGGTGTTGTAACTTCTTCGCTGCCCAGGATCAGGGGACAGCCGTCCGAGCAGGGGACAAGGACGCTCCCACCCCCAGCGGCAGCCTCGCAGGGATATCGGACCCCCAATTACAAGGTACGTTCACCATATCGCTGTGTGTTCTGTATGGGTGCTGTCTCTGGTGCTGAATACATTGTTGTTGTCTCTGGTTCTGAATACATTATTGCTGTCTCTGGTTCTGAATACATTATTGCTGTCTCTGGTTCTTAATACAGTATTGCTGTCTCTGGTGCTGAATACATTGCTGTTAACCACGCCTCTTGAAAATACCGCATGTTGTCAATTCGTGTACTTAGGCATGGCATTATAGGTTCCACAAAACGATCCGCGGTCCTTTTGCCAAAGCTTTAGGTAGTCCACTCTCGATTTCAACGAAGCTAATGGGTGCGAAGAGGAAATGATGCTCAACAGAAATGCTGCTACTAATTTTCAATTCTTAAGAACCAAATTGAATCTGAAATGAGACATCTGCGGCCCACCCTCCCACCAACATTCGCTCAGACTTGCAGCCTCCTACGCCTTTCTACTTAATTCTTTCTCTATGCGTCCCTATGTCTCTGTAATATTCATATAGCTATCGATTTAGCTCCTTCGCAACATATCATCCGATAAGATGCCATGACTGAACTTCAACTCATTACTCATCAAGGATTCATTACAGCACAGATAATATCGGCCACCGAGCACAATAAATCATGCGTACGTATGTATCGCCCCGTCTCCAGGAAGTACATAGTATTATTGGAAAGACTATTGAGGTTTGAACATGGGTGCAACGCCAAATATGTGAATAATAGAAATCTCTCTTTCTCTCTATATATATATTTCTCTCTCTGTGTTTGTGTGTGTGTGTGTGTGTTAGTGTGTTAGTGTGTATGTGTGTGTGTGTGTGTGCGTGTGTGTGTGTATGTGTGTGTGTGTGTTAGTGTGTGTGTGTGTGCGCGCGTGTGCGTGTATGTGTGTGTGCATGTGTGTGTGTGTGTGTGTGTGTGTGTGTGTGTGTGTGTGTGTGTGTGTGTGCGTCTATGTGTGTGTGTATGTGTGTGTGTGTGTGTGAGTGTGTGTATGTGTGTGTGTGTATGTGTGTGCGTGTGTGTGTGCGCGTGTATGTGTGTGTGTGTGTGTGTGTGTGTGTGCGTGCGTGCGTGCGTGTGTGTGTGTGTGTGTGTGTGTGTGTGTGTGTGTGTGTGTGTGTGTGTGTGTGTGTGTGTGTGTGTGTTGNGTGTGTTGTTGTGTTGTTGTGTGTGTGTGTGTGTGTGTGTGTGTGTGTGTGTGTGTGTGTGTGTGTGTGTGTGTGTGTGTGTGTGTGTGTATGTGTGTGTGTGTGTGTGTGTGTGTGTGTGTGTGTTGTGTGTGTGTGTGTGTGTGTGTGTGTGTGTGTGTGTGTGTGTGTGTGTGTGTGTGTGTGTGTGTGTGTGTGTGTGTGTGTGTGTGTGTGTGTGTGTGTGTGTGTGTGTGTATGTGTGTGTGTGTGTGTGTATGTGTGTGCGTGTGTGTGAGTGTGTGCGTGTGCGTGTGTGTATGTGTGTGTGTGTGTGTGTGTGTGTGTGTGTGTGTGTGTGTGTGTGTGTGTGTGTAAACACGATAACTCGAGAGGAAACTGATGGATTGCAGTCTAATGCAGTAGAGTTCCAGTAAGGAGGTTGTAACCGCAGATTGCAGTCTATGCTATTAGAGACATCACAACAAACTTCCAGATTCCAAGGTTTACGTCTTAGCTCCTTTCAAAATAAGTCAAACCATAACAATTCACAAAAACTCTAAATACTTTCTGGAGGTTTGAAATGTTCGGTTTCTTATTTTAGTGATGTCTTCTAGTCTACAGTCATTAGATATTTTCTGCGGACTAAAACTATCAATCAGACGGACTAAAACTATTAATCTTGCTTACTTGTTTTACTCCATGGCGGTGCAGAGCAAAAAAAAAGCCATGTGGACGCTTCTATGTTCAAGAGAGCAGATGGTCTAACAGTCAGAGATTTGAGGAGTACTAGCTACAGGCCAAACGGTCGTTACGGATAAAGTGCATGTAGCCGCAGATAGAGTCTTTGTTGTTCTGTCATTCATCCGTCAGTCCCGTGTATCGATTGATATACGAAACTCTGTGTAGACTTAATTTGTAGTGACCTTTACAAAGTAACGACAAATTTATATTCAAAATGTCACGAGAGGTTTCTCACTGCTCGTGTAGTGATAGAGTAATTCACATTCAAGATGGGTAGACGTGAGGATTTCTACTGTGAAGGGAAACCCTTAGAGTTGTAGAGGCCTCATTTCCATGAGCGACCGTACTGAGACCCAAATTGAATTTGTGTGACCTTTGATTCCATTATTGGAATATGATGCAAAATGTAAAGGTATGATTAAAAAGACAACAAAACACAAAAGTAAAACAATCATTCTTTATGTATGAATTCTTAAGCGATTTGTCAAACCTTTCGCCCCTCAACGAACGCAACCTCCGGTGTGAAGGCGGTGTTACTAGTACTAGTCATCTTGCTCTAGACAGTGAGTGAGAGGTACGTGCTTTGAATGGAGTAGTGCTAACGGTAATGTATAAGGGTGATGCTGAGCCGTGCTATGGTTAAGGAACTTACGTGTTGTTTACAGGAGAAAACAAACTCCTATAACGTGTCTTACTTTCTTCTTCTCATCTTTAATGGGTCCGTTAAGGTAACTTAAAGTATGTTTCCTATCTAGGCCCTTAGAAAGCTAAAAGTAACTGCAGCCCGCAAGTCATAACCTTCGCTTAGCACGGTGTCATTGAATGTTAAGCTAGCGACAAAGGTAGCTGACAATCAACAAATAATGAACAGGCATTGACTTTTTATCATAAAATGGTTGTGACAACCCTTAACAAAACTAGAAAGGCCAACATTTGCTTTGAAGCAAATATAGCATGACTTCACCACGTTTCACGACATGGCAGGGAAAGAAGGAGAAATACAAGGGAAAACAATGATTTATATTGATATAAGTATAGTATGAAGTGAAATATAACTAAGAATGCAACAGTTGGATAGCTATGCCCTACATTATTGATTAGGATTTATTTGCAGTTGCTGTTGATTTTCAAGAGTAAAATAGCATTTATGTCCCGCAATCCAATGCTTGAGAAGGAAAGTTTGACATACCTACCCGACATGTTTCAACCGATTTACAACCCAAAAGACTTCTTTTCCTGGCTAATACTTGTAAAAAATCAAAGTAACCAATGGCTATTATAAGTATGTGGAAGCCTTCACAGGTGTTCATTTAGCAGTAAAGTAATTACGGGAACAGCCAATCAGCGACCAGATCTCCAAACAGGGTGCACCTGCTGCCAATATTTGGGCATTGGCCCTATACCCAAATATGGTCACACTCCAGTCTTGGCAACACACTGCTACAGTACATTACCTATAACGCAGCCAAAAACTCAAAATAAAACCATTCTAAAAGCATGTATCAAGAAAATGAAACAAACGCTTGGGGTATTTGGCCACTGTACCTTCATGCCAAATTTAATGTTATTTGGCCCAAAAATGAAAGAGTTGAATCAATTTAAAGAAATGGCAGGAGGAGAAGAAGAACAAAATGACATCAGCATGAAAGTTCATCTGAGTTGGTAAATTACATTATGAAAAACTTAAACTTTTCTCCAACTCAAAATTTGACTCACCAGAAATTTTCGACTGAATCACTCAGTCTTCCTCAGCTATCTGACCCAAATGCTGTGGACACATATTTGGTGGTACCGATATGTTGATGACACGCATACAAAGTTAAAGAAAATCTATGCACAGGAATTCACAGACCATCTAAACAGTTTGGACCCGGATATAAAGTTTACATTTGAACAAGAAGAAGACGGTGCACTGCCCTTTCTAGACACTCTAACAACAATCAACCAGGATAGGTCCCTGCGGGTTAGCATATACCGTAAGGCGACACACACGGACCAATATCTAAATTTTTTCTCAAACCACCCTTTGGACCACAAGTTGGGTGTGATCAAAACCCTTTTACATAGAGCTAATACCATTCATCAGTGATCCTGCGGATAGAAGTAGCGAGATCCATCACGTTACAGAAGCCCTAAAGAAGTGTGGCTACCCTCAGTGGCTCATTAGGAAAGCCTCCGAGCCCAGGCAGCCCCGGTCTAAACCCCAAGATAGTCAGGGAACAGGAGGGAAAAACAGAAAAACACTTGTAGTCCTCCCATACGTAAAGGGTGTTTCTGAGCCCCTACGTAGAATCTTTGCTGCACAGGGAGTGAGTACCTGTTTCAGACCTCATCGTACGTCAAGTTAAGACAACTCCTTGTGGCACCTAAGGACAAAACTCCCAAGGAAGACAAATGTGGGGTTATCTACCACATAACTTGCCAGGGAAACACTAACAGAGGCCCCTGTCGGGAAACTGAGCGCTCACTAAAAACCAGGTTTCTAGAACATAGACGACCCAGTTCTGTTGCATCTGAGGTGTCACAGCACATCCACATAGAATCACCGGGACATACAGTGGATCTGGAGGGGGTCAGAATCTTGGATACCGAACAGGATTACTTCAAGAGAGGCATAAAAGAGGCCATATACATCAGGGCACTTCAACCATCGCTCAACCGGGACGGGGGGCGATATCGACTTCAGACAACCTTTGACCCTTTGCTGACGTCACACGTGGGGAAAATCACGTGTCCACAGCATTTGGGTCAGATAGCTGAGGAAGACTGAGTGATTCAGTCGAAAATTTCTGGTGAGTCAAATTTTGAGTTGGAGAAAACTTAAAAGTTTTTCATAACAAAATGACATCACTCTAGTGGTGAAGTCATAAGAAAAGAATAACTTTATTGCCCGACAATTTTGAACGCGAAAGTAGGAATAAGTTAAATATACATATAATATGATAAGTCTCTCTCTCTCTCTCTCTCTCTCTCTCTTCCTCTGTATATATATATTACGTGTTGTTTACAGGAG